AGAAGAGAGGATACTGGTGGTAAGAAAAGCTAGATGGCTTACCCAGGGGTTAAACCAGGAGAGGTAGGGCTAGTAAAAAACAAAAACTCAACCCCATTGCCTTTCTGTTCATTCTGATTCACTGCGATGCTATAGGACTGAGGAGAACAGCCAAGGCTTCCAAAGATGTAATCTGTGTGGAAGCAAACTCCATATTTTATCCCCACAGAGCAGCTGGTGAGACTGAGCCACAAACCTTTCAATAAGCAGTCAAGTGCTTAACCACTGTGCCACCAGGGCTCCTTCAACTATAGAACTAATAAATTCTAGTTACACACATTACTTTCCTAAGGAAGTCTTCTTGTTCTTCATTTCAATCTGCTTATTTATATACATCTATAAAAATACTCAAAACTCTGCAAACTCAAATGTGAACTATAACTGAACATGTTTTCTAGCTTGATGCCCCTCCCTGCCCCCGACCAAAAAATTTATAAAATCTAAGAGTAGAGAGATTGCAGTTCAACATTTGGATTCACTGCTGATGGTTTTGTATATGGGGGGAAAATCTTTCTATAGACATGCATCATGGTATTGCAAGAGCCCTCAAAATTATCTTAAGCTTAATTTGATAATATAAATAAAAGAATTAGTGCTAAAGGAGTAATTTAAAAAATAACTCATCTATAGGCATGTTAAGGAGCTCTGGTAGCGTAGTGGTTACGAATCGGGCTGCGATCCTTAAGGTCAGCGGTTCGAAACTACCAACTGCTCTGCGGGAGAAAGATGAGGCTTTCTACTCCCATAAAGATTTACACCCTCGGAAACCCTGTATAGGGTCGCTATGGGTCGGAGCCGACTCGACGGCACATAACAACAATAACAACATAGGCATGTTAAGGAGCTCTGGTAGCATAGTGGTTATGAATCGGGCTGCGAACCTTAAAGTCAGTGGTTGGAAACTAACAGCCGCTATGCAGGAGAAAGATGAGGCTTTCTACTCCCGTAAGGATTTACACCCTCGGAAATCCTGTACAGGGTCGCTATGGGTCGGAACCGACTCGACGGCACTTAACAACAACAACATAGGCATGTTATTTATAATACTAAACGATTGGAAAATATCCAATATCTTTTGAGTGGCAAATGATTTTAGAATGTGTACTATATAACACAACGTAAGACTAAATAGATAATAAGCTAAAAATCAAGATTATGAGCTAGAAAACTACATAAATTTTAAGCTAATCAACAAAACCTTCAAAATATAGCATTTACAAAATGATTAAGGAGATAATTTTAGTGCCTTATTGAAACAAATTTGTTGAATTATGAGGAAACCTGGTGGCACAATGGTTAAGTGCTTGGCTGCTAACCAAAAGTCCAGTGGTTCAAACCCACCAGTGACTTTGGGAAAGAGCAAACATGGTGATCTGCTTCCATAAAGATTACAACCTAGGAACTCTTACGCTGTTGTTATTAACTGACATTGAGTTGTTTCCGACTCACTGTGACCCTATATAGGGCTTCTGAGGAGCAGCTCGTGAGCCTGAACTGCCAACCTCATGGTTCTAACTGACCTTGCAGTCCAGCACAATAACCCATAATGCCACACCAGAAACTCATATAGGATAGTTCTATCCTGTCCTGTGGGTCGCTGAGTCAAATATAACTTGGTAACTGACAACCACAGCAATAACAACAACAACATACACAAAGATTAAGGAGTCAAGGCATCATAGTAAAACATGAAAAATCACTAAATCAGAGCTGAAAACATTACTGGTACATTTTCTTTGAAAACTATGTAAGTGTTCATTTAATTTGATTTAAACATTTATATATAATTTTAGGCTGATCAACAACCAACTTTGGCAGACATAAATATTTATATTAGGCTGATTTCATGGCTGAACTCAGAGCATAAACTGGATGGTTCTCACAGAGAAATAATTAACTAAGGAGTTACCTTCAATTTTCTGAGTTTATTTAAAGAAAAAGAAAAAGACAAGAGCACCAACCGATGCCCCCAAAGGCTGGGATTTTGGAGATATCAGTTTACATCACTGTAAACCAAACACTGAACTCACTGACATTAAGTGGATTTTGATTCATAATGACCCCTTAATTTTGTAGTAGAACTGTTCAATATGACTTTTTTTTTTTTTTTTTTTGGTATAATGCTGATGTAGTGCTTGTAGGATAAGCACTTGATTGGTATCCACAGGTCGGCAGGTAAAACCCATCAACTGCTGCTCATAAACCCTATGTAGGGTTACTATGAGTGAGAACAAACTCGCCAGCACTTAACAACAACAACAACAACAACAAAGCTATGGAATGAGATAGACATGTATTTCTCCTCTGGCTCTGCTGAGTGGGTTTGAACTACTAATTGTATATTAGTAGCTGTGCAGAAACTGTTTGTACCACTCTGAACCGTTCTGCTATGTAACACGAGGCAATTTGATTGGCTGACATTTCAGTTGCTTCCTGTTCTAAGGATTTTTGTTCCAGATGAGGCACACATGCTCTAATCTCCTTAACACAGATTTCATGTTCAAAACAACCTTGTTTCATTTCATTTTCCTAGCCCAATCCCTCCTCCAGAAAAAAACTACTTTGCATTTCTAGGACACAACTTACTGGACTTTCGAGAGTTTGGAAGAAATTAAAGTGCTAATATATCCATCTGAAGGCTATGCTGAATTCTGAAATCAATACTGAAGAGGGTCTTTGAATAAAAATTAACTGAATTCTGATAAGAATCAAGTTATACTTTAGAGTTACTACGAATAGGTTTCATTAAAGAAAAGTCTTGATGAGAGGTGTTACGTGGCAAAAAATCAGAAAGAACAGTAAGAATTTCCATTATTTGAATTCACCCACAGTTGCTCCAAGTATTCAATATCTCTTAGATATGCTGCCTTATCGTAAGCATAGTATCCAGTAACCAAAGCAGAAAAGTTGGCATCCAAAAAGAATCTCAGAGACCTACTTCTGGAATGGTGATTGAAAACTGAACCCACACATTTTGGAAACCTGCTATGCATATTTGACTGTCTTCAGACTTGTTACACACTCAGGAAAGCAAGCAGCTACACATTTATTAAAAATGGGAGAGGGGGTACTCTGAAAAGTTAAAATGATTTTCCAGGAGTCCATGGATTACATGTACAATCAAGGTTCTCACACAGAGATAATCAGATTCACAAATCTTATCAAAGTGGATCTCGAAATAACATTGATTTCACCGCCATTTCTTGACTAAGCTAAAGGTGCTTTATATGAATTGTCTCAAATAAACTTTATAAGCCTTTGGTGGAAAGACGTCACTTGTCTGCATTATGTAGACAAGGAAAACCGAGGATTACAAAGTTTAAGTAACCTTTTAAAGGAGAGAAAGATTTTCAGTGCTAGAGCCAAATTCCAACCCATGTTATATTATCTCCTAGTATGTCGCCCATGTGATTCTTAACTCATAAGGGATAAAAAGTATGACTGAAGAAAGCTGCCAAAAGAGTATCATTCAAGTAGCAAGAATCAACAATCTAGTCACAAGAGCTACAAAAAATACAGAAGGCTGTGGTCACTGAGTATAAGGACAAATGGCCACAGAAGCCTCCAGTCTCCACTGACATCAATATCACAGAGCTCACTGAAGTAAATCATTTCATAGTGATGGTCCCAAGTCATTGTGAATGACAAATAATGTAAACATAGAGGGTTATGTAATGTCTTTCAGCTTGAAACAAAGATTTGAAGGAAGCAATATTTGAAATATAAGAATATTTGTTTATTAGTTAAAACTTCCTAAAGAGGCAAGCTTTTGTTTACTAGACTTTCCATCTTGTAAATGCACCTTCCACGGTGATTCCAGGTCAACAGGACATTACAAGGTAAATGTTTTGGACAAACTTAAACTATGTAGTGTCTGCAAAGAATATGGGACTACAACTGTGAACAACCAGATACCATCCTGGCTCTTCCACCAGTGAGTGACACAATGTAGTTGCTCCTCTCCTCTCTGCTTCTCTGCATTTCCACTTCTGAGAGAAGAGTTAGGCCAATGATTATACGATTTCTTTCTTCCTTAACGCTATTCTTACGTGACTCTATAATGATTCTATGTATGTATTTAAGTTGCCACTGGGGGGAAAAATAAAAGGAAACTCAACCGAAAAGATGCAAAACAACATTAAATCCTACAAACTCTTCATGTTGAAGAGCTTTTAGATCTCTCTTGCAGACCCTAGGGCTGTAAGAGCTTCACAATTGTCAAATTATTGAACAAAACACTGACATCAGAAACTTCTGCAATAAACTTGAGATTTGGGGCTAGGCTATGCTATGTATAGCTTCCACTGCCTAGCACTCAAGGTTTCTTTTACGTTGAAATATACAAGCTTTTGTGGTCTTTAAATGCAGTTGGTACTGACTCACAGCAACCCTGTACTGGATTTCTGAGGAGTGGCTGTTGGGTTTGAACTGCTGGCCGTGCAATCAGCAGTCTGACGCTTAAGCTACAGTGTCATAGCATGACTGGGAGGTAAGAAATCCTCAGCAGCGTAAGAAGTGATTCAAAGACTCAGGAGTTTGAAAGAGCCTGGATGAAGTACATGAACCCTGTCAAGATTCCCAAAAACAATTGGGAACTACAAATATAGGGTGAGATCTAATATCAAGAAGCCCAATTCTGGTACTTATAAAACCTTCTTATGCTTTAGGGAGAAACACGGTAGCTTAGACATGAACGCATGAAGTCATGATTAAGGTTCCTCCCCGCAGATGACTAACTGAATGGTAGCTCCATCCCGGTCTAGCTTTCTGACCTCATAATACCAGTGGAGAAAAAGAAGGAATAAATTAAAATATGCCAGTTCACATCACATACATGTTTGTTTAGGTCTGGAAATTAAAAATTGATGGTTATATTCTAGCGGTAGTGATGGACTCTTTCTGTTTTTTGTTTCTGGCAAGACATCTTTATCAAACACTTAAGAAACAAATCTGTAACTTACAATGTAGCAGGGCTCACAGTATGCTTTCTTCTCCACTGCATAGAAGGGCTGCCCCCGGAGCTTGTTGTTACAGATGATGCAGGTAAAACAATCCACGTGAAAGACCTGATCCATGGCAGTGCAGCCTGTACCTTCCCCAACGACGTTCTCCCCACAGCGAGCACAGCGGCCTGAAAGAAAAGAGTGGAGTGATTACTGAGAACCACCAGGTGATTACACATCAGTCCTTCCAAAGAAGCCATGAGGGGAGAGACAGCAGGTTCAAAATGTCAGCAGCAGTGAAAATGATGCCACTGCCATCGTCACCACTGACAAGATGACTGGTATAACTACCGCCTTTGCAAGGATTCCTGGTGTGGTGCTGGAGAATACACACTGGAATGTGAATCAAAAGGTCCGCAGTTCAAGCCCATGAGTTGTTCCTTGGAAACCCTGTACAGGGTTGCCATGACTTGGAATTGACTCGATGGCACTTAATAGCAATAATCTTAGTAAAGTGAAGGATCAGCAAAAAAGAGGATGACCCCCAATGAGATGGATTGGCACAGTGGTAGTAGCAATGGGTTCAAGCTACAAACATTGATTGTGCATTAAGCTGCTATGAGTCGAAACTGACTCAACAGCACCTAACAGCAACAAAAACAACCTTTGTAAAAGAATTACTGAGTGGTGTAAACGGATATATATGTTCACTCTTAACCAAAGTCTGGCAGCTCCAGTTTGCTCATTGTAGTTGCAAAAGATAATTCAGGTGATCCATTAACATCCATAAATTTATAACCATTGAAAACCCTTTATAAGTGCAATTCTATTCAGAACCATATGAGATTACCATGAGTGGGAACTGATTGCATGGCAATGAGCTTACCATGTGTGAAGGAGTCCCATAACTAAAACCAAACCCAGTGTCATGGAGGCATTCTTGACTCAGAGTCCTTACAGGACAGAGCAAAACTGTTCCTTAGGGTTTCCGAGGCTGTGAATCTTTATGGGAGCAGACTGCCTCATCACTCTCCTGTAGAGTGGCTGGTGGGCTTGAACCAATGGCTGTGTGGTTAATAGCCCAATGTTGAACCCACTGCACCATCAATGGTTCAAATTCTTGATTGCTAATCAAAAGACAGGTGGTTCAGATCCACTCAGAGGAAAGAAATAACTGGTGACCTACTTCTCAAAATTAGCCATAGAAAAACCAATGGAGTCCAATGCTACTCAGACATATAAATAGAAGTTAGCCCAGAGGCAAGTGGCACTTCTTAATCCTTTGTAAGGATGGCATGATGGGGATGTTCACATGAATCAGTGGGGGGAAATTAACCCTCACAGCCCCAGGTTCCCCTGAAAGTACTTGAGTAAAGCTCAAGTCTCCTAATTTGGAGTCTAGTGCTTTTTCTACTATACCTCTGTCTTTACTCTCATTTGTTGTTGTTAAGTGCCGTGGAGTCAGTTCTGACTCATAGCGACCCTGTACAGGGTTTACGAGGCTGTAAATCTTTACGGGAGCAGAAAGCCTCATCTTTCTCCCCCGGAACAGCTGGTAGTTTTGAACTGCTGACCTTGCAGTTCGCAGGCCAATTCGTAACCACTACACTACCAGAGCTCCTTACTCTCATAGGTAAGTATAAAAGAAACATGACCCAAGTGCTAAGAGTGGAAGGCACAGTCCTTTCTCCTTGAAAAGTCTATGCATCCAGTTAGACTATGAGGGAACTGGGTCCACACTCAAAGGTCAATTCCTTTCACAGAAGCTCTGATTATAAGTCCTCTGTAGTTAGCCCTCAGGGGCAGGCAGGCAGAGGAAAAGGTGCCCCTTGTATTTTTACAGCTGCTTCAGTTGGTAGGCAGTTCTTTCCCATATTGAACCCAAGGCTGCCTCCTCACTTTTCCTGTTATTCAACAGTTCTAGATCTGTCTGTCCAGCCTCACAGATTCAAGTCTTATCTCTGTCAGGCTTTGGCACCCTTTAAGATATTAGAATTAGGCTATCATTCTCTCTTGAACAGTTCTCAGTTGGAACATTCCTAAATTCTGCAGCGATTCCACATCCTATAGGGCTTTGAGTTCCTCATGAACCTGGCTGTCATTGTCCAGCCCAGTTCTGTATTTTTCAGTATTCTTAGATCAATTAACAAGGCACCTGGTCTACATATGGTTATTAGATTGAGGTTTATAAATTTCATGTTAATTTCTAAATAATAACAATTAAATACAATTTAATAAAAATATTAATGTCAGTGAGAGGTATGAAGTGTGTTGCAATCTTCACTAAGATATCTATTGTCTGGCTCAATATATACTTTATCTTCTTATTCATTACTTACACAAGTCAGACTTTTCTAATGTCACATGTCACTGAAAATTCTAGTAAGACTCTTACTTACTGGTTATAGAAAGCATAATGCTTCATAAATATTAGGCTTGTTCTTGGTGCTTTATATAAGGGTAAGTCAAAAATGATCTGCACTCTGGCTGTTGAATTTATTTCAATTAACTTTCCCAAAAGACAAATAGATCATTTTTTACATAATCTATTTGTTTTTCAATACACTTTATCCATCTGTCAACAAGCTTTCGTATTCCATTATTAAAAACATTTAAGGCTGAACTTCAAGTCACGAATAGACCACTGTCTTCATTTAGATTCAGAGGTGAATCTACGTCCTCTAAGCACTGCTTTCAGGGGAACAAAGAAGTAAAAGTCTAATGGAGCAAGATTAGGACTACAGGGAGGATGCTTTAATACCTCAAAATGAAGTTTTAGCAGAGTGTCAACAGTGTGGGCAGAGGTATGCAGATGAGCATTGTCATACTAGATCACAACGCCCTAGGATACCAGTCCTCTCCATTTAATCCAAAGGTTAGGCTTTAGCACTTCAGTGAGCATCTCACTATATTGAACACCATTGATTGCTGAACCTTTTTCCTGATAGTGTTCCAATACTGGCCTTTGAGAATCCCAGGAAACTGTGATAAGTATCAACTTTCCAGCTGATGGTTGACTTTTGAACTTTTTCTTGGTCGACAATTGAGGATGTTTCCATTCCATACTCTGTCATTTACTCTCAGGCTCGTAGTGATGAATCTATGTCTCATCATCAGCAATGATTTTTTTAAAATAAATTTTTAAAAAATAAAATAAAATACCTTTCATTGAGTACTAGTCCAAATTTTATTTGCAGATTTCCAAACACATCTGTTTATGCTCTTTGGTGAGTTGTTTCAGTACCTATCTCACATAAACTTTTCAAAACCCAAGTCTGCCATGGATTGTTTCATAGGCAGAGCCATGGCTGATTTGCAAATGACTTGCCACATAATCCACTGTCACTCATGTGTTCAACAGAATCATTTCATGTGCACACTCCATGTTGTCATCAGCCGTGGAGGTGGACAGGTATTTTAATATAAGTGTGGATAATTTTTGACTCATCCTTTTGTATATTAGCCTATTTAATATTCACAACAACCCTATGAGGTAGGTACTGTTATTATTCCATTTTACAGATCAGGGAACTAAATCACAAAGTGATTAAGTAACTTCAAGTAGAAGCAAGCTAGCTTCAGCATGTATACTGTTCACCACTGTCCATCAAGACTGAACACAGATCTATCACTGTGGAGAGATTTCTCACTGAAGACTGCCTTTCAGCACTCCATCACATTGGATTGACAACCATTTCACACTCGAATATGAGAAGCTAAATGTTTCAGTTTGCAAGAAAAGAGGCAAATATATTTCTAATGGTCTCTGGTTGCATTTAGCTCTGAAAAGTATTTCCTTATATTTTACTGCAGAATTCCACATGTCCTTTAAGTGTGGCTGAAATTTATATGCATTATTAATATAGCTGATGCTATTATGAAGTATTGATATTATAATCTTGTGACTTGATAAAAGAATTGATATACAATATTTAATTGTAATACTGTAATAAACTTTGTAACTAGTTTTACGAAGAGCAATAAATCCCAGAGTTAACTTGTATCTGGTTTTATTATAAGATATGTAACTTGAAATAATGATTTAAAAATTTGGATGACTCTAAAGTTCCCAGTGTTATGTTTGAACATGATGTGAAAATTCTGAGAACGTCATGTCACCATGTGTCAACGTTTCATAACAGAAAACATATTGTTTATTGGGGCAACTGCATAACTAATCTACAAAATGTAATCTTTACAAAGAAACTAATGATCTGTAGGTCTTACTTTATGCTAAATTAATTCTGGCTAAATGTTATTAACTAGTCATGGTTAGTCTACTAAACAGCTGTTGTTGTTGTTAAGAGCCACAGAATTGGTTCTGATTCATAGCAACCCTACATAGGGTTTCCAAGGAGTGGTTGGTGAGTTTGGACTACCAACCTGTGGTTCAAATCCACCTTTTGGTCCAGTGCTTTCTCCCACAGTGCCACACCAGGACTCTACTAGGCAGCTGGAGGTAGCAGTTTTGAGCTAGAGCATGGATGGCAAATGTTTACTATATGGAATCCAAGAGCCTGAACCTGGTATACAGACATGCTGAAAACTACCCATGAGAATCTGGGAACGAATTTCAATGGCTGAATACAAAGAAAGGTTAGAGAGGAGCTTTAAAGGCCAGACAAAAAAAAAAAAACAACAAAAAAAACTTGGAAATTTTCACCTGTTCTACAGATATTCCAAGTTCTTACTTTTTCTATCTAGCCCCATTGCTCTGTTTCAGTGGGATACACAGGAATGAATTAGACATGATCAGTACCTTTAACATTCCCTATGAGAGTACATGGAGTGCCAGTGTGGCACTGTAAGATAATGCACCGGACTGCAAGGTCAGTGGCTCAAATCTACCAGCTGCTTTTTGGAAACCTTAGGCAGGGTGACTATGAATCAGACCAATTCGATGGCACTGAACATGAGAGTATCTAAGGAGCTCTGGTAGGGTACCGGGTTATACGTTGGGCTGCTAACTTCAAGGTCAACAGTTCAAATCCACCAACTGCTCATTGAGACAAAGAGGAGGCTTTCTGCTCCCATAAATATTTAAAGTCTTGAAAACCCTACACAGAGTCTTTATGAGTTGGAACTGATTCGATGGCATACCATCACCACCACCATGAAAGGATATATCCCCAACAACCAGATAACAAAATGTGAAAAAACACCATATGAGAAATGCATAAACTAGAAG